TAGAAGTATTTCAAATTTGAACATAATATAGCTTGTTGATAAGAGTCCGGCTAGATATTGTGCTCCAATATCAGTAATACTATTTCGGTTATATTAGGGATGTTATATTACTGCATGATTACGCGTGATTATGCTGTTATCAGTACACATCTACGACTCTCGTTCTCTGATGCAATGTCAAAGAACACAAATGAAATCCTGACTCATGTTCAACAATAAATATTACCATATGCTATGCGAACAAATACGAAAATAAAATAATGGCCTCATCCAATGCTGACGACGGGTTTTATTGGAATAAGCAGCTCAAAACAAGAATCGCGAGATATAATCAACACTCACGAATTTCTTTGCGTGAAATGAATCTGATTGACAAAGATATTCCGATGATTATCAATGAGGCACTAATCAACAAACAATGTACAGAACTTGATCTTTCTTCGAATCGATTTACATTCGAAGGAATTCGACTGTTAGCAAACACATTTGATCAAAACTTAATATCGCTGAAAATGATCGATTTGAGTAGTAATCAGCTAGGTGACGAAAGTATTCGATATATTACCACTGCTCTTCGAATGTATCCTTTGTTGACACATCTTCGTCTGGGACGAAATAGTATTACTGATATTGGAGCACAATATCTAGCCGGACTCTTATCAACAAATACACGACTTACTCTTATCGAACTCGAGTACAATAATATAACATCCCAAGGTATGATAGTACTTGCACAAGCTATATTATGTTCAAATTTGAAATACTTCTATATTGGGAATAATCGACAGGTGAATGATGAAGGTGTCGAGAGTTTACGTGATATGATACGAAAAGCAACTGATTTACTGGCTATTTCATTAAATGATATTGACTTCTCTCAAAAATGCAAAGAGAAATTGGGACAAGTAGCCAAAACAAAACATCGCCTTACTCTCTACCTTTGATCGAGCCACCGAGACGATTCATTATAATAATAATAATAAACCAACTTCTATCGATTACAGCATACAGATCTTATTCAAATCTGATATCGAGGTAGTAACTATTTATTCTGCGCTCGTTTTTCTCGAATAACACCCAGAATGACTTCTCAAGGTTGATCGGTTGTTTCCAAATTGAAGAATATGAAATGGCGCACTAGTAACACTCTTGATTTGCCCTACAAGTTTAGGTATGAGCGTATTTGAGCACCAATTTGCAGATGAAGATACCAAAACAGATAGATCGTTTGCAAAAAGACGTTAATCAGGAAATGCGTTTCTTATCACTGGGGTACTTTTGTAATACATGGGAAGATCCTTATACGAGGATTGTGCACATAGACACGAACACTATACTTTCATTTCATTGTCATTTTTCATATCATTTGCTAGAGAGTGAAGTCAACGAAGGATATAATAAAGGGAAAAAAAGTAATAATGAACAAACATAAAAAGTCATAACTCCTATGTGATTCCTTATTAGTTAGTTAGAAGAATATAGTTATTGAGCGGCGTCTTTTGAAACGTTAGTTTTATTCGCAATCATAACATTCTTTTTGTAGGCATTGAGAACGTTATCAACCATGGATCCACTCAAACCCAGATAATTAGCAGGATCGCAGAGATGCTCGAGCTCAGAATCAGATAAAGCAGCCGAGATATCTTTGTCTTCTTTGAGTAAATCAATCAACATACGATCCTCAAGAGCAGCGCGATGACAGTAAGTGTACACGAGGTCGTGGGCAGATTGACGACCCAGTTTGGGACCGAGACCCATCATGACAGCTTCAGACACAATGAGTCCCTTTGTCAAGTTCAAGTTACGCATCATGTTCTTGGGATGGACCTGCAGACCAGCCATCATTGATTTGGTCTGATTTAATGCACCAGCTGTAAGGATGAAGGCTTCTGGCAGAACGATCCATTCTAAAATGAAAGGAGAAAAATTGAAATATGAGTATAGGATCTGGAGTGGATTCACGTAAATCTCTGTTTTAAACAGAAAACTCGCCCTGAGATTTTGGTACTTTCGCCGTAAGAGAAGATCCGGGTTTTCTGTAAAGACCAGTTTTCACCGATGTCACAGTTTTTTTTGAAATTCAGGGTTTTATTAATATTAGCGCTCAGACTTCTTAACCAAAGAATTTCCGAGAAATGTTTTTGAAAAATCGCTAAGAGGCTAACAACGACCGAGATCGAAAAATAATTTTCACAACCAACCGTGGTATCCCACAGCCGTTTGGATCACATGACGAATTTTATGGAACATTTTTTCTTATTTTTTTCGAAATTTTTTGATTGGTGATCGTAAGAAAAGCGTCCCCGCCGATTTGTTAGCTAGATATTGATAGAAGATCCAAGATCTTCTTTTAAACGGGAGATGTGTTTGAAGAGTACAAAAAATACCATCCTTTTTTCATAAAGAAGCGGCAAATGCTACACCTGTACTCCATACGGTAGTTTCCCGATTTTTCGTTTTGCACCCTTTTTAGAAACTTTGGCGTAATAGAAAATCCCCCCTAAAAAATGTATACACTAGGTCCTAATAGAAGACCCGGAGTCTTCTGTTTACGGGGAGAATTTATTACAAAAAACTAACAAATTTACCAATCTCCCAGGGACCGGTGGAGCGCTCGTGATCCTCAACCATCGCATCCATAAGAGCAGCCGAATGTTGACGGACAGTGGCAGCCAATGCGTGGATATATACACAACTAATCGGATTGAACTTGTTTGGCATGGTGGAGCTGGATCCACGATGAGAAACGTAAGGTTCAGAAACTTCACCAACTTCGGTTTGCATCATCAACTAAATAAAAAATAAGAATCGATAACACGTGTGTGCGCATTCAAAAGAAATTTGTTTCTCCCCTTTTTTACCTTGATGTCCGTTGCGTTCTTGGATAAAGTACCACAGAGAATGCCGAGAAAGGCGCCTACTTCAGCAATACGATCGCGTTCCGTGTGCCACGCAATCTCGGGTTGAGCCAGACCCAGTTCACGTGCCACCTCCGCCTGACACTCCAATGCAACGCTATCATCCAAGGTGGCAAGAGTGCCAGCAGCACCTCCAAACTCCAAAGTCAAAGCACGTTTGCGGATCTCTGCTATGCGCTCCTTGTGACGCTGGAGAGTAGCCAAGAGACGGGCCATCTTGAAGCCAAAGGTGATGGGCACAGCTTGTTGTAAGTTGCTACGACCAGCCACTAGTAAAACCATGATTAACGGTATACATAATAGAATACAGTACAGAGACAGAGAGGACTTACTGGGTGTCAAGCGATGCTCCTCAGCTATCTGAGCTACACTGGCCATAATATGATCCAGATCAGCTTCGATGATATCAAGGGAATCACGTATAGCCATAACAGTGGCACTGTCTGTGACGTCCTGAGTGGTGGCACCCCAATGGCACCACTCACCAAGACCATCTCGACAGACAGAGACAAGCTGCTGCACAACGCCCAGCACAGGATAACCGATCAATTCAGTCTTCTGTTTGAGCTCGTCGAAGTCAATGTTTTCGACCTTGGCCTTGGCGACAATCTCATCACAAGCTTCCTGAGGAATGATCTTGAGTTTACTTTGGGCCTTGGCCAGTGCAACTTCCCACTCCAAGTAATATGCAGTGCGTGCTTTATCAGACCAAAGATCTGGTGAAAAAAATAATACACATAAAGAGAAAAGTATTATAGAGTTATTGCGCTTATACATACTGCGCATAGTAGCAGTACCAAAGATATCCTTGAAGATATGAGAGTCGACAACGGAAGCCATGATGAGAAAGAAAAATAACAATAGGGCTGAAGCACTATCTAAAAGAAAATGTAATCTTGTAAATTCTTACAGGATTTCTGATTTTTTTACTATCTGAAAGCCTTCAAGCGTTTTCGATAACTGGACACCCCGAAACAGTCAGTTATAGTAATTTTTGGGATGTTAATCTCGGAAACCAGGTTTTCGAGCTCACGAAAACTTTAAAAGCAACATGCATAGTGAAGATCCTATAGCCGACTGAACAGATTTCGAAACCTTGAAAGGCGTCATAGAAACTCTATCGAAGGTTCCACTAAAACGATCTGCTTAGAACGGAAAGAATAGAAGAACTAAAATGTAGAAAGAATTTATTATTTTTCATACACCGTGACATTTGTGTTTCATCGATACAAACTTAAATCTAAAAAAAGAAAATATCCCTTTTCTATTTCTATGTAACTTACCGCCTATATGTGCTCGGTATGAATCTAAATATAAAAAAAGAAAATAGTTGTTTTTTTTGTAATATGTAATTTGAAAGTGTGGGTATAGTATTGAGTGATGTAAAGACAAACTGGAAGAGTAGCTTTACAGCCAGCCTCGGTAATGCTGTTGATCGACTATTCTATATCTCCAGAATGTGACTACGTCACATATAACACAAGCTTATATAAGAAAGAGAAAGAGAGCGTCCAGCACAGGACAGAGCAATAGGAAAAGGATAACAACGAAAGAATAAGAAGAATGTGCAAACGATGATACAGCCAAGAGAGTGATATCAATATCGGTACATTGTCTCACTGCATTTAGACGCGCTTCTGAGCGTCTGTACATAATAAAGTGAAAAAGAAAAGTGAACAGATAATAGACATCTAGCATTTAGTGCTTATTTCTTATCTCACATACGACAACATATAGTCACATTTGGTAATGAAGAACAAGAGAAGAAAAGAAAAGAAAAAATACTTGTGGTCAAATGCGAGTGAGTCAGCCTTTGTAGACAGTCCTAAGAAACCTGGACCTGTTGCTTTATCGATGACATATATTGATTTAACAGCTACGTTTATAAGTATTAAGTACGTTTTCATATAGTACACTATCATTTACAATATTTTTTCATGCAGATAGGGCATACGAACATGTTACAATCTTGTGAACCGAAAAAAAGCCGAATTGAATCAACTCTTCTGTATGTAACTCAACAGACCAAGATCTTGTATCAATATGATGAATTGCCACACAGTAGAAGGGGGACATTTCCAATGCCATTTTTCTCACGGATGACACGACTGACCGGTTTCTGGGTCGTTCTCGCAGACATTCATACATTAAAATTTTCATTTTCTTTTTCTTCAAATAATTTATTTTGTCTTAATAATTCCAGCGAATACTTGCCCACCGAAAGCCGCCATCATCCACGTCGTTAAGAAGGTTCACAATCGTACTAGTTTTGGGTCTGCACTTGTTGTTTTACACACATTCCGGCAGTTGATTATCCGCCTTGTTTGTGCTGAGTTGACCGCCAAGTTTTTATTATATTGTTATTACTCATAAAGGATCAACTCCTAGTTAGGCATTGCAAGGATCCGTTAGTCAGGGTTGCCATGTAACAATAAACCGGAAGAGTAGCTTTACGGCCACCCTCAGTAATGATGTCGATTGACTATTCTATATCTCCAGAATGTGACAACGTCTCATGTAACACAAGCTTTTATAGTAAAGAGAAAAAGAGTGTCGAACACAGGACAGAACAATAGAAAAAGGATAACAATGAATGAATAAGCAGAACGCGTAATGGATGATACAACTGAAAGAGTGATATCAGTATCGGCACAAGTGACAGAGAGAAAGACAGCCTCACTCACCTATACCTATAATGTACACACGTATTGCTTAGATGCCATAAAAATGATAAAAATCTGTCTACGTGTACACTTAAGTTGAAGTTTTTCACCTGATCTGAAAGCCTTCGATCCTCTTGAGTGGTAAATCTATCGAAAAATAGACCGATTTATCCGTCAAAGAAAAGATTAAGTTCAATCTGCTAGTCTCAACCCTTGCATTTCAGTAATCGACTTTTTGTACAATCTAGATAATTTTTTGTTTGAGTAAATGCTTTGGAATAATAAGTAGAATCCAGAGTTTAATTCGTCGACGTGTTTCATGTTATTTATGTAAATATAAATACTCACCACGGCTCTGCACAAGAATAAGCACTTAGGAAAAGTATAACACAGCCCTGACGACTAACTCAGAATTGAATTTGCAGCTTTAGATGGGAGAACGTCTGGCAGGGAAATGTGAAGGAAATATGAGGTTCTGTGTGCGATGATACGCAATTTTAGCAATCGAATAACTATGACAAGATTTAATGTAGTATTTCTTTTCTAACGTACAGCGACATTTTCTGTTTCTCAGAAAAAGATCATGAGATGAACGAACGCTACCTTATAGTTATGATATTGATTTTTCAAAAAATATCGAGTCAAAGTAATCAAAGATTGGAGAATTCAATTTTAATAATTAATTAATAATGTTAGTTTTCTGAAAGATTTGGCTAAAAAGAAAGAGTAAATGTACTTTTGATCACCAATCGCTTTTAGATACAAATGATCACCAAATTTTCCAGCATCACATTTTTATACATATAAACATATAAATTTTAACAAAGACAATATTTTCACAGTTTTATTTACATTTATTTACAAATTTAAAGCTTTGCTAACTTTCTTGGGGC